TCCTTCATTATCCTTGCGAGATGAAATTTTGTGCTTTTCACAGCATTCTCCCAAAGCCCTCCAAAATGAGGAGCTGAGGGGGGGTTGAATCTCCATTCGATTCCTTCTCCTTCCATTCGCTTATCAATTTTTTCCATGTATGCAGTGAGCTCTTTTTGCGCCCCAACAAAATTGGTACCATTATCGCTATAAATTCTCTTACATTTTCCACGCCTTGACATAAATCGACGTAAGCAAGCTACGAATGCAGCGCTTGTTAGGTCTTCCACAGCCTCTAAGTGAACTGCCCTAGTCGAAAAGCACACAAAAACAGCAATCCAGGCCTTGATGCCGGTTACTCGCCGGATTCCACTTCTGATAACAATCGGACCAGCGAAATCTACCCCAGCGATAGCAAAAGGCCGAGAGCATTGTACTCGATCCTTTGGTAATGGGGCCATGAGTGGTAACAAAAACTTAGGTCTTGCCTTTACACACTGAACACAACGTGATGTTACTGAACGTGCCATTATTCGTCCTCTCAGTGGCCAATACATTCTTCTTATTTCAGCCAACAAAGCCTGTGGTCCACAGTGCAGTAATTCTCGGTGCCGATCTTCAAATATTAAGCGCGTTATTTTGTGGGTCGCTGGTAGTATTAAAGGATGTTTTTGCTGTTCAGATATGTTGGAATACTCTAAACGTCCACCGACATAGATTAGACCGTCCTTTATGAATGGCTGCAAATTCTTGATTTTGCTTCTTCGAAGTAGTTCCTTATTAGATTCTAATGATTTAAACTCCTCGTAAAACGACTCTCTCTGAACCCATTTGATCACAGCGACTTTAGCGCCTTGTAACTCGGAAACTAATAAATGCTTTGGATATTCAATAGTTTTTTTTAGCTTCATATACCTTATGAATCGTAAGAGCCATGCTACTGAGCGTACTAATTTGTGCCAGTTCGAGAAAGCATCGAAGAGCTTGGTTAATGGTAGAGAAATCACTAATGCAAGTTTTACTGTCCGTTGTTCCGGGATCTCTTCATCCTCGATTAACTGTACTTCTGACGCATTCCATTGGCTTTTTTGATCTGACATCCATCTTGGTCCATACCACCAGAGATCTGCTCTCAACAGTTCCTTGGCACTTATGCCACGGGAAATAACATCAGCAGGGTTATCGGCTGTACGTACGTGGTGCCACTGGTTCGCATCAGTTAATTCCAAAATTTGTGATATTCGATTTAGAACGTAAGATTTTAATCTGGTTTGCTGACTGTTTATCCAACTCAAGACTACGATCGAATCAGTCCATAATTGACAACTTCCCAACTGAAAGCCCCACGACTCTGACACTTTGTTGACTAATTCAGCAAGTAACAGCGCCCCATTCAGCTCTAAGCGTGGGATGGTGGTTCCTTTCAAAGGTGCTACACGGGTTTTCGAACATAAGAGTCTCGAACTCCATATTCCGTTGGCATCTATTGAACGTACATAGATTCACGCGCCGTACGCTTCTTCCGAGGCGTCGCAGAAACCATGGACTTCGATGTCCTTCGACAGACTTGGAATCGCTTTCCTTGGAATTTCTAGTACCTTCAACTGGCCTAAACTTTGGTAGAAGGCGCTCCATTTTGTTTGCATGGCTATTGGCAACGGTTTATCCCAATCCATTTTCTCTGCCCACATCTGTTGCAGAAAAATTTTACCTTTTATCAGCACGGGTGTCAAAAACCCAAGAGGATCAAAAATCTTATTAAGATCTGATAATATCACTCGCTTAGTTAAACATTTCGGTTGTAAAGTGGGAGATATAGTAAAAAAGAATTGATCTAACAGTGGCTTCCATTCCAGTCCTAAAGATTTCACTATTTCTCCGTCTCCTATCTCAAGTGTGAACAACGTATCACCTTCACGTTTACCCATTTGTTCAATTATATCTTGGGAGTTTGAACACCACTTTCTCAGCGGCATTTTTGCAGAATCAAGGATAGAGTTTACCTCTTTCTGAATTCTACAACAGTCTTCCACACTGTCCGCGCCTGTCATTAAGTCGTCCATATAAAAGTCACGAAGAATGGACGTTGACGCTTCGGGGTATTGTTCCTTCACTTCTTCTGCCAAAGCAACTAGGCATTGTGTAGCCAAAAACGACGCTGGTGTCGTTCCATAAGTCACAGTCGTCAATTGATAAGTACGTAACTGCTCTTTCGGATTTTGTCTCCACAAAATCCGTTGCAGGTTCCAATCATCCTCTGAAACGCGTACTTGACGAAACATTTTTTCAACGTCGGATGTTACGACGTATTGGTGTTTTCTAAAACGCGTAAGTATCCCGAATACGTCCTCTTGCACGGTAGGACCACATTTCAACACTTTGTTGAGCGATAGCCCTGACGAGCTTGTGGCTGACGCATCAAACACAACTCGGAGCTTGGTTGTCAGACTTGAGCTTTTAAGGACCGCATGATGTGGTAGGTAAAAGGATGGTTTTGGTATCATTAATTCATCGACGACTTCTACCATATGCCCCATTTCAATATATTCATTGATGAATTTTGTGTATTCTGTTCTAAACTTCTCATCGTGCTGTAATCTGCGTTCCACACTAAGAAATCGGGATGTCGCCATAGCCAACGTAGAACCCAACTCATTCACCGTGTCTTTCTTTGGCAGACGTACTACGAACCGTCCCTCTTTATCTCTGTATGTAGTTTGATTAAAATGTTCAAGTGTTTCTGCCTCTTCCAAACATCTTTGATTTGCCTTCGATAGCCGTCCGAAACTGGAAGTCTCGCTGGCCATAATTGCTTTCCAATCTTCCTCTAAAGATTCGCCGACTGAATGAATTCCAACTAAAGTCACTACTCCTATTTCACCAGTCACTATCCACCCAAGATTGCTGAAGTTCAAAACTACATTCTTGACTTTTAATGGTATCCGAGGTACAGTAGTTGAGAACACATCAAAAAATACTCCACCGCCTATTAATAAATCAACTGTCCCTGGATTTTGAAAGGAAGGGTCTGCTAGCTGTGACATCAAATCATCTGGAATTTGCCAACCCTCTTTTGGCGTTTCACATGATGGTAAATTATTTACAATCGTTGGCAACACGTAACATACCAATTTAACACAATAATCACTCAGTCTTGATTGGACCGAGACTTCAACATAGGATACAGCTCTCACTTGGCTCGCCCCAATACCACCGACTGGTAGGTTAGACTTTTTACATTCTAGTTGCAGTGACTTGGCGAGGTTTCCTGATATAAAATTCACCTGTGAGCCGCTATCAAGTAGAGCTCTACACTTACGCTGATTGCTTCGTCTATCAGTAATAAGGACAACTGCAGTTGCTAAAAACGTGTAGTTTTGTTCTAGTCTATTAAAAGCGGATGCAGCTGCCGACACGTTTGACGTCTCTGTTGTAGTCCGTTCCCTTTCAGTGGTTTGTTGAGGCTCTGGAACCTTGTCAAAGTGCAACAGAGTGTTGTGCCTTCGTCTGCATATACGACAACCATAAAGAGATTTACATACAGTTGCCATGTGCGTTGGAGAAAAACAGTTAAAACATAATCTTGAGTCTCGAACTACCGTGACACGATCTCCTATTGATAGATCTTTAAACTTACTACATGCGTATAGCTTATGTGGTTCAGAGCAGCAGCTGCATTTTATATCATTGGGAATTGAAGCTATGAGTCCTTTTCTTGTAGCTGTATGATTAGACGTCTTCTTCGTAATTGCGCTGTTTGTCGGATATCTTGCTTCTTCACCCTTTTCATTAGCATCTAGTGTTTCGGAGCTCTCAAATGCAATGCAACGACTTGAAATAAATTCTTCCAGCTCGATATATGTTGGTAAATCTGTGTTAGTTCGACGCAGCTGCCATTCATGGCTTGTGGTATGGTCTAATTTCCTCAGAATAATTGTTACGAGCCATGCGTCCCAGTGTTCAATCGGTTGGCATAACGACTCAAGTGCGGCGATATGAGTTGAAACACATGAATGCAGCTTCTGCAATTCGTTCGCCGAAGCGACCTCTACTCGAGGTGCGTCGAGAATGGCACGAATATGTGACTGAATAACCAAGCTTTTATTGTCGTATCTCTGTTGTAACTTCCTCATAGCTACTTCATAGTTGAGTTCCGTGATCGGTATCCCTTTGATAATGTCCGATGCTGGACCACCTAGTGCCAATCGAAGGTAAGAGAATTTCTGAGCTAACGAATAATGCTCATTATTATGAACCATTGCCTTGTAAAGGTCAAAGAAGGAATTCCACTCTTGTATATTACCGTCAAATTTCGGTATTTCAATAGGAGGAAGCCGCGCTTGATGAGGATGCGAAGCACTAGCATTTAATGAATTATTGCTCATCGACGAGTTATGAGACTTCTCCTGGTTAATCAACTCTTGCATCTCCGAGCGAACAGCATAATAATCATTTTCAAAGGCTTCTCTTGCCTGCTCATTCTCCTCAAAATTGTCAACATCGAG